CAACTCTAACAACCTCCTATGGTGCAAATTTAGATCCTTTTGCTTGAACATGTGCTGCAAGCTCCGATGATCAGTATAAATCTCACAAGGAACACAGCATAATTAATGGCTCCAGACCTTCAGGGCGTGAACAATGGCAGATAACTCAAGGTCATGGACTAGATAATTCTTCTCATGCACCTTTAACTATTTGGACGCGTAGGCAATCACCCACCATCCTACATCAAAACCACTCCAAGGCCAATCCTCGAGGCATCAAAATAGACAGTGTAAGACCCCGAACATGTAGGCAATATCAAAACTGGGCTGAAGTCAAAGCTGTCTTGAGCTTCTGAAAGCTCGCCTCACACTCTTCCATCCACTGGAACAGAGCACCCTTCTGGGTCAGTCTGGTCATAGGGGCTGCAATCGATGAAAACCCCTCCACAAAACAACAGTAGTAACCCGCCAAGCCAAGGAAACTACGGATCTCTGTAGTTGAGGATGGTCTGGGCCAATTCTGCACAACCTCTACTTTCTTCGGATCCACCTGAATACTCTCACTCGATACCACGTGGCCTAAGAATTCCACGGAATCTAACCAAAACTCACATTTTGAGAACTTAGCGTATAACTTCTTCTCTCTTAGAGTCTGAAGCACAGTCCTTAGGTGTTACTCATGATCTTCTCGACTCCAGGAATACACCAGAATATCATCAATAAAGACAATGACAAATGATTCAAGATACAGCTGGAACACACTGTGCATCAAATGCATAAAGGTTGCTAGGGCATTGGTCAGCCGAAATGACATGACAAGGAACTCGTAATGACCATACCGAGTCTTGAAAGTAGTCTTCGGGATATCTGGCTTTCAAATCTTCAACTGATGGTAACCTGAGCGCAAGTCAATCTTAGAAAACACCCGTGGGCCCTGAAGTTGGTCAAACAGATCATCAATACGAGGCAAAGGATAACGGTTATTCACTGTAACCTGGTTCAACTGGCGATAATCAATACACATACGTATAGAACCATCATTTTTCTTCACAAACAAGACAGAATCACCCCAAGGTGATACACTAGGCCAAATAAAACTCTTATCAAGCAATTTCTGTAACTGATCTTTCAACTCCTTCAACTCAGGAGGGGCCATATGATACAGAGGAATAGAAATGGGCTGAGTGTGCGACAACAGATCAATGCCAAAATCAATATCTCTATTGGCATGCCTGGAAGATCAGCTGGAACACATCAGGAAAATCCCGTACTACTGGAACTGAATCAACTGAAGGAGTATCAATACTGACATCTCTCACATAAGCTAAATATGTGTCACACCCCTTCTCAACCATACGCTGAGCCTTAAAGAAAGAAATAACTCTACTTGGAGTGTGATCTAAAGTACCCCTCCACTCAACACGCGGTACACCTGGTATAGCTAGCGTCACGGTTTTGGCGTGACAATCAATAATAGCATAATGGGGTGACAACCAGTCCATGCCCAAGATAATATCAAAATCTACCATGCTGAGCAACAATAAATCGGCTCTAGTCTCAAAACCACTAAGAGCAACCAAACACGATCGATAAACGCGGTCCACCACAAGAGAATCTCCTATAGGAGTAGAAACATAAATAGGGGAACTCAAAGAACCCAAGGTACACCCAAATGCGGAGCAAAATATGAAGACACATAAGAGTAAGTGGAGCCTAGATCGAATAGAACCAATGTATCTCTGTGACAAACCAGTATAATACCTCTAATGATAGAATCGGAGGAAACAACCTCGGTACGGGCAGGAATGGCATAATATCTGGCCTGGCCTCCCCCTCTAGGGAGACCTCTACCTCCCCGACCTCTACCTCCCCGACCTCTACCTCCCCGACCTCTACCTCTAGCTGGCTGAGCAGGTGGGGTAGCAACTGGAGTTGTAACCGTAGCCTGAGAACTCTGCGGGGCACGCTGTGGCTGAGAAGTCTGTGAAGGTGCACCCCGCCCAAGTCTGGGGCAATCCCTCACCATTTGGCGTGTGTCACCACACTCAAAACAAGCTCTAGGAGGACGTGGCGGCTGTGACTAGCTCGGGCCAAGTCTGTTGGACTGACCTCTGAAAAGGCACCCCACGTAGGAGGCGCACTAGAAACTGGAGGTACATAATAAGGCTCCTGAGGCCTAGGAGGAGTTGGAATACCACTGGATGCTGGAAGAGCTGAATGAATAGGGCGACTCATGTGACCCCTACCATGACGACCTGCAGTTGGGGCACGGGCACCCGAGTAATGGCCCGACTCTCGAGACCTCTTGGCCTCTCTCATCTCTCTCCCTAGAATGTATACCCTCAATTCTCCTAGCAATGCTCACCACCTGATGATAAGAAATATCCATCTCCAACTCACGAGTCATGCTAGACCTGATGCTGGGAATAAGCCCCTCAATAAACCGGCGAACCTTCTTATGAACAGTAGAAACCAAGGCTGGGGCATGTCTAGCCAAGCAAGTGTAACGGATAGCATAATCTGAAACAGTCATAGCACCCTGGCGCAAATGCTCAAACTCTGTGCGCCATGCATCCATGAGGTTCTGAGGAACAAACTCTCTTAGAAACGTATCTGAAAACTGGGTCCAAGTCAGTGAAACAGCCTCGTCCGGACTGTCTAGCTCATGGTGCACCACCACTCATAGGCGGCTCCTCGAAGCTGGAAGGTAGTGAAAGAAACCTCACTCAATCCTGATATACCCATAGTGCGGAGGATACGGTGACACTCCTCTAGAAATCCCAAGGCATCATTTGATGCTAACCCACTGAACACCGGAGGATCATACTTCTTGAACCTCTCAAGTCTCCGCTGCTCATCCTCTGAAGCCGCTGTTGTGTCCTCTGGCTGAATTGGCACTGCAAGCGGTATAGGAATAATCTCTAGGACCTGATCAACATGCACTCGCTACTCAGGAGTGCGGGCGATGGGAGCATGTGCTCCTCTCCCGGCCTGAGATGTGGCTGCAGCAAGGGGAAGCAACCTTGCCTGAGCCAATATAGTGTACATGCTCATGAACTGCAGAAGTCTCCTGAAGTGCTGGAGTAGTAGTAGCAATAGGCGTGTCAGGTGCCTGGACTCCGGCTGGAACTGCTGGAGGTACCTCGGTAGCAGCTCGCATAGGTACTTTGGCTTCACCACGTGCGCGTCCTCAGCCTCTACCCCGGTCCCAACCTCTGACGGATACAGTAGGGGTTACAGGTGCCTGATCATCTCGGGTAGTACGTGTCCTCACCATCTGTGAGAGAATAGAAGACAGAAGTTTAGAATTGTGATGTCAAAATATCGTACGACAAGGAAATCAAATGAAGTGGAATTTTCTTAACGGTTACATAGCCTCTCGTAGATAAGTAGAGACGTCTCCGTACCGATCAGCAAGGCTCTAATAAACTGGCTTGTGATTCATGACTCCTATGAGCCTAGAGCCCTGATACCAACTTGTCAAGATCCCGGTTCGCCCTCCATGAACCATCGTGACGGCACCTAGTCTCTACGACTAGGTAAGCCTAAAATGTGAAAGATAAACCAATTTACAGAAATAAAACAATCTAAAATAGAAATAGAGTAATAACACAACGTTTAAAAGTGTCGCTCGGCATACACAATATTAACTCTCAAAAACTAATACTTTCTCCCAAAACNACAAAGAAATTCTAAGCTAATACGCGAAATTAGGTAAAATGACCAAAACGCCCCTCGAGCTCACATCTCGGAATTGGGTAAAATTGATATTTCCATAATCCTCGCACTCGCACGAGTTCAGTCATACCAAAAGTACCAAAATCG